TGAGAGTGATAAGGAGGCTCAAACAAGTAAAATCAATACCTAAACACCAGCATCTCTGTTCCTGATCACTGTTAAGGTGAAAATGTACAGCAGAGAATTGGCAGGAAGGGACAGATTCTAGCAAAAGCAAGATGAGCAAGGACGGCATCTTCAGAGGGGGTGCTGACTTAGCAAGCCAATGGAGTGAGTATCTGATGCCATGAGTCAGTGTTTTTGGTGTTTGACACAGTGCCTGAAGGCGCCTGTCGACCTGAATGCTGCCTCCCAGTCAGGTTCAGGGCTCCAGGTGGATGTTGGCTGTGGACTCTTCATGGGGGGGGGGGGGGGGTATTGCCAAGGGACAATGTCCGAGAAGCCTTAGGACAAATAGTGCTGCAGCATTGATGTGAATTCTGTGACATTTTCATCTGCCGATGATCATTGCTAAGTTTTACAAAAAATCACAACCCCTACCACACCCACACCCTTTTTGACAATGTAACACCACTGCCATCTAATATCTGTCATTAATTTTTAATCTGTAAATGTAATTTTGGCTGCAGTGCATAAGGCTGACCAGTGGGTGTCACTTTTTTCTTTCACCCTACAAACCATTAAGGATGTCTCATAAAATATTTGATCATGAACAGTTATTGTGAATCATAGAGGTCCAATACACATATAAATCCTAAATATTATGTGATATTTAATAACAGTGTATAATGGTATGGTTTCCCCCCACAGTCCAAAAGCATGCTTAGGTGATTTGGAGTTAGGTGTCCGTAGGTGTGAGTGTGTGTGTGAATGGTGTGTGCTCTGACACATCTTGGGTTATTCCCTACCTTGCACACATAGCTTCTGGGATCGGCTCTAACCCCCCCCCCCCCGCCCCGATCCCCGAGCAAGTAAATAAAATGGATGGATGGATGGATATAATGTGGTACATGAAATATCACACAGAACACTCATCTGTGTCTCTGTCTAGCACACGCGACACCACTCACCTGTATGGAAGACGTGTGGCACACTCATTCGCGTCTGTCTGTCTAACATTCTGCGTCCATTCAGTCCAAATTGGGGGACTGAATCTGGTGGTGGTGCTGGTGACATTCCAGAATTCTCAAAGCTGTTTCCTCTTAAGGACACAAGCCGTTTTTGACTCCTATTTGATGGAAACAGCAGACACCGAAACGTCATGCAAGTGGTTTGAAGTGACGCATTACCCCCACCCCATCCGCCATCTGGGTTGTACCTGCTTTCCATGTGGCACCAGGGTGCCCCCACATCCCACCTCATCACGGACACTTGCCACTGAAGCCCATTAGCCATCTGGTTTAATATTCCCCCTGTTCTCCAGGCCTTCCAAGGCTTCAGAGCTCTGTCCAGTTTTCCGTTGCCGGCACTCGAGGCCATCCCAGTGTGGTTCCTCTGGAATCCAGTCAGAGCTCTGGGTCTCTTTTGCATTCTCCCTGTGGTGCTTAGTACCCATGTGCCTGTGAGGCCTGGACTGAGCTTGTGGGGATGTTCCCTGTGTCCTCCTTCCCAGTGTGGCAGCAGCAGGCCAAGGTAATGGCATGGGAGGTGTCATCACACCAGGTAGCCAGGAGTAGGCAGGGTTGTGGAAGGTGGACTGGACCAAGTAGGCAGGAGATGGTAGGCAGAGAAGGTGGACTGGACCAAGTAGACAGAAGGAGGTAGGCAGAGTAGGTGGACTGGAGCAAACAGACAGGAACTGGTAGACCCAGAGAAGGTAGACTGAACCAATTATACAAGAGCAGACATGCCTAGAGGAACAGGTAGGTCAGTGTAGATCGACAGGTCCAGGTAGGTTGTAGTGGGTATAAAATAGATAGTGCCCCCAGACAGGGCAGCACATTGAAAATAATGTTCTCATTAGTGGAGTTAATTCCTAGAGTAGAAATGTGACAAGGGCCAGAGAAAGACACATCGCATTTACCTGCTGTGGCACCTGCAACCTTCTTTCCAAAGGATGAGGGGGGGGCATTATCATTTCTCTTGCAAACCTGTAGCCAGCCTCAGAAAGGGTGGGGCAGGAAGCCCATCTTTCATCATGATGGTTAGGAAACACCTGGGTGGAATTTGGGTGGGTGCAGTGAGGGGATGTGTAGCTGCTGACAAACGGACGGTGCACACGCCACTCCACAAGGGAGCTGTGCTCCGCATGAGAAAAGCAGCTCATGGGGGGAAGGATGTGGAAAAACTATATGGGGGAAGGGAGAGTGTTTTTTTCATCCATAGGATAATGACTGACGGCAAACAGTGGAAGCACATAGTCTCCTGCGGCGGGCTAGACACATGGCACCAGTATAAAGTTGGAGCCTGCAGATTGTTGAGTAATTTTCTTTCCAGTGGGAGGGGAGGTGCATTCTGGCCCCAGCTGTGATGGAAAACTTTTTCACTGTCCTTTGGCCCTCCACACCCCTAACACCACCCGCCCCAAACACACATCAGGCCCATATAAATGCCACTCAATGAGGGTGGCCATCCTGGAAATTGCCCCCTAACTTCTTTGTCCTAAGGGGTGGGGCTCGGGGTTGTCACGGTGACTAGCTGGTCCACGGGAAGGGGGTGGAGAAGACATTAGCGACAGCAGTCACGCCCGGGACAGGCTCCATGTCGGAATACCAGTTCCAACTGTAATTGACCACAGTATCCGTGCCTTGGAGAAGAACACAGCCAATATTATGCATTCAAACTCCAAATTGTTATAACGGTTGTGAGGTTCCGCCATTCAGGACTCCGAGCTTGCCACTGCAGTTTTAAAATTCAGCTTTTTTCTGGTCCTTGTCTTGATTGGTGCTGAGCACAACTGCAGGATATGCAGGTCCGACCTCAGTAAATCCTGTCGTTGTCCTGCTGTGCTATTCCCTGCCGCGCGACAAAACACACAGCCATTATACCCCTCTGACTTCTGAGAGTTGGCACAGTCTCGAGTGAAATAAAAGGCCCCCACTGAAACCTCAGCCATGCTCTGAGACAAAACGTACAGTCACATACAAATTATAAAAAGAGCATGGATGATGACTCTGAAAAGCGAATGGCTCCTGTTCTCAGCTTATATGAAACAAATATCCATTTTGTCATGTCTTAAGTCTTTGTAGGACAAATTTATCCTACAGACTGTGAGCCATAGAGAATACCACATTGCAAAGCAATTAGCAAGATTAACAGGCACAGTAAATGAAACAGAGATATAGGTTTCATACTATATATCTGTGGCCTTTACTTCATCCTTAAGGGGTTTTTTGTCAGGACTGTCCCTGTGTCTGACATCAACAGGTATGGTGGTGACACAGAAACGTAACGTACAAGGTCCCTTAAATGATGCTCGGGGTCACCCAGGGCATGTGAACTAAGCACCAGACTGGCTCAAAGTCAGACCCGCGAATTTTCCGGAGCAGAGTGGCGCACCAGGAAGGTGCTTATTAGAGGAATTCAGCACTTTGGACAGCACCTCTGATATGCTGCCCTCAGCGTGCCTGAGCTGTTCACCGGCAAGAAGGGTAGGGTGCAGAGAATCCTCTGGTTCTTGCTGAAGGGGTCTAAAGACACAGCAGAATAGCAGGCTGGACCTCACTCCTTGTGAATAGTTTCACACGTGCCTCCTTCCCCACCTCCTCCAGTGCCCCCATCTCCCTGGTGTCACCAACCTCTGCAGTCCTGGAGGAATTCACAGGCAGGCTTCCAGAGGAGATCATTATGCTTCCCCGATGCTGTGATTCTCTGGCGGGAGTGATGTTTAACGTCTCAGCGGGTTAACGTTGGGTTTGGTAGAAGAAAATACTGACATTATGAGATCAGTTAACCTAGTGGTTAAAACTATTAAGTGATTACCACTGTGGTTATGCTTGTGACTCTGACTTTGACCATGACCTCATTTTACACCTTGTTTTTATTAAAGCAGGACTATTTTTCTGTTTTATATAATATTAGTATGCCAGGGTGGGGGGGGGACTTTCTTTCTCTCTCTTGCTCTCTCTCTCTCTTCCTCCCTCCCTCCTCTCTTTCCATATACTGCTCTGTACCCCTGCAACTGTGGCAAGAATCTTATTATGTTCCAGGGAACACAGATGACAATAAAACTCAACCTGATTAATGTGATCATTTGACATGGTCACTAAGATGGTTGTTACTGCAAGAATTTTTTCTGGCTCACAAGCTGCAATTAATACTTGTAAATTATGGAGTATTTAGTGCTTCAGATCAAAGTAGCTTTCAAAAAAGCTGGATCTAATGGGGCACCAGCAGCTTCACCCTGATGAACAGGTTATCTACAGTCAATGACAAAAACAAATTGTATTTGAGGCAATCTGTACTGAGGAAAGCGAAAAAGACACATCTGAGAACCCCAACCAGCTTCACGATGATTAAGCGTGTTTACTCTCCCTGCTGTGTGATTAACAAAATGGTTAATGCATGTTTAGTGTAGTGTAATTAATGATGGTTAATGGGATTCACTGATTAAGTGGAACACATCAGTTCACTCAGGGAGTAATATCTCAGGTTGTGTGCTGAACTTTGAACTTGGTGTTACAAACTTCTACTTTATTTATACTTTATTAATTCAGTAATTCCTGAACTTCTAAATCATATATCCAGCAGGGGGTGGTATAGCACCTCAGTGATTGTCCCAGGTTCAAACCCTGCTATGTGTTCCCCCTGTCCTATCTATCTGTGTGATTTACTGCCAGTACTCTTTTCTGCATGAGAACCTGTTGGGGCAGAGGCTCAGAGTGGCCCCCAGAGGCTACAGTGGCAGTTGGGCACATAAGTGTGCATGGGTATACCCAGTGCTGGACTGGCTAAGCGACAGGATTGGGGAATACCTGGTTAGCCACGATCCCCACCTCTGCCACCCAATTTTACTGCCTACACTGCCCCCCCTCCCCCGGTTTGGGGCATGACATTCCTGAAACTCTGTACCACTCCAGCCCTGGGTATACCTGCCTGTGGTAAACAGGAAGCCCCTTGTGACTGTATGTCTTCCCTACCGCCCGCAGGCAGCAGGGAGGCGGCCTTCACTTATGCCATCACGGCGGCAGGCGTGGCCCACGCGGTCACGGCGGCCTGCAGCCAGGGCAACCTGAGCCACTGCGGCTGCGACCGCGACAAGCAGGGCTACTACAACCAGGAGAAGGGCTGGAAGTGGGGAGGCTGCTCAGCGGACGTCAAGTACGGCATCGATTTCTCCCGAAGGTTCGTAGACGCCCGCGAGATCAAAAAAAACGCCCGGAGGCTGATGAACCTCCATAACAACGAGGCGGGAAGGAAGGTAACCCCCCCCCCCAGACAAAAGCATCGATCCACACCATTTAACGCCAGGGCAATTATTTGCAGGAAATAAATCGCTCGGCATGCCCTTGCATCTGCTTTCGCTATTCCTTGCCAATAATTATTTCCTTATAAACACAGCATATTTCACATTGTTTTTTTCTCACTTGTTTGATATCTGTCTGCTAAAAGGACTCTGACACGCCACAGGTCGCTGTCTTCCTGTGCAAATAACACCTGGTACAGCCACACTCACGCCGGTGTGCTTGTGTGTGTGTATCTGTCTGGTGAATACGCGCTTTCTGACAGGACAGAACCGGAACAATTGAACCACAGCAACGTGGTGCCGCACTTGTCAACAAGCATCCATTACACTTCCATGTGTTGGCTGTGCTTTAGCCAACAGATGCTCCCTCCCCCCTACAACCCAGCATCATTTCTGCTAGTGAGGGCATCTGGCTCATGTCCCTTTGGCTGTGTTTGTGTGTCATTAGTCATCTTTGAACAACAAAACAACATGGGTCATTACAGAACGAGCTGCTCCTGGGTGCGAATATTAATTATGGAGATTAATGGAGCCTAATGAATGCACAGGGTTTTCTGTTAGGCACTGGAGAGAGGCGTGGTCCTGCCAGGTGGCAGCCTGCCATGCCTCAGACAGCCCTAGGCCACTTGTGAAGTGTAAAGTCATTCTGCTGCAAGTTGTCATTCCTGCAGAGACAGTGCTGTCCTACCAGCATAGTTGTGCAGTGTGAGCCTTCCACTTACTGCATCCTATCCATCTTGTAACAGCCAGTGATTTGATTATTTACCTGGCAGAGGCTGTTACTTGGGTCTTCAGTAGGCACAGGTGTGAAGTCATTTAGCTTACTAAGAAAGTGTAAGTATATAAACTATTAGCTGCGAATGCTGATACCTGTAAAATCCAAATGGAAATTATGTGCGTCTATTAACTGTTTTCAGGTCAACAATGACTATTTAAAAACATACAAATGATGGTCTGCCACAGAAACTATTTACAATGGACACAGTTTATACAAAAAGCAATAGTCAGCCAAAGAAACTATTTACAGAGCGAGGCAACAGTTAGCCAAACTTTCTATAATCAGCCATACAGACTATTTACACATGGAGATAACAGTCATGTACAGACGACACAGACAAACAATAGCTGGACAGAAAGTCAACAAACAGCTATGCAGACCATTTGTACAAGAGGCAAGAGTGTGATACATAGAGACTACAAACTTCCACATAGACTACATAGTAGGCAACAGTCAGACACAGACTTTTACAAAGGGACACTACAGTCAAGCGCAGAGAGACAACAATAAGCCACAGAGACTATTTAAACAGGGAGGCAACAGTTGGACACATAGACTATAAACTGCCACATAGATTACACAGGAGGCAACAGTCAGACACACAGGACTATTAACATGGGGACACTGCAGTCAGATGCATGCAATAAAAAAGTACAATTTTAATTAGAAAGCAGTTAATTATCAATAAGATCATATTTAAAATTCTCCTGTTTGTAACACCTGATAAACACCCGAGGAAATACGAAAAATGCACAAAAAGGCCACCCATAGCAGAAACAGACAATAATAGGTGGGCAAGATCCATCCCTCCAAACATGTCAGTTAATGTGCATGATAACTGAGACGGATGTAGATGTGTATGAA